GCGGCGGGGCAGCCAGCCAGCCGCGCTCTTCGGCGGCAGGGGCATGGAGGAGCGGCGGGCTCCGAGCCGCGCCCCGGAGTCCCTGAAACTTCCGAGCAGGCGCCCAATCGCGCCTCTGCAGCCGCCGCCACCGCCACCTCACCTGCCGGCTTGAGAGCGGGACCATGGATGAAAGGTTCAACAAGTGGCTGCTGACGCCGGTTCTCACTCTCCTCTTCGTGGTCATCATGTACCAGTACGTGTCCCCTTCCTGCACCAGCTCCTGCACCAACTTCGGGGAGCAGCCCCGTGTCGGGGAGGCCCGCCCGCCCGCCGCTCCGAGTCCTGCTCGACGGGCTCAGGCGCCCCCAGATGAGTGGGAGCGGCGGCCCCAGCTGCCTCCACCGCCCCGGGGACCCCCCGAGGGGCCTCAAGGGGTCGCGGCTCCTGAGGATGAGGATGAGGATCCCGGGGACCCTGGGGAAGAAGAGGAGGAAGAGGAGGAGGAGCCGGATCCCGAGGCGCCCGAAAACGGCTCCCTGCCCCGGTTAGTGCCGCGCTTCAACTTCACCCTGAAGGACCTGACCCGCTTCGTGGACTTCAACATCAAAGGGCGCGACGTGATAGTGTTTCTACACATCCAGAAGACGGGGGGCACCACGTTCGGCCGGCACCTGGTGAAGAACATTCGCCTGGAACAGCCGTGTAGCTGCAAAGCTGGCCAGAAAAAGTGCACCTGCCACCGGCCGGGAAAGAAGGAGACCTGGCTCTTCTCCCGCTTCTCCACCGGCTGGAGCTGCGGGCTGCACGCCGACTGGACCGAGCTCACCAACTGCGTGCCGGCCATCATGGAGAAGAAGGATTGTCCCCGCAACCACAGCCACACCAGGTACCGTCACTGTCCCATATGACTGCTATCTATTACCTGAGACTCTCCTTCCCCGCCCCCAGTCCCGAACCCGCCAGTCCCTTTGCTGCTTGCTCCCTTTGCTGTTTGGCAGAGAATTTGGGTGAACGGTAAGCACCTCTGGATATCGTAGGGGTCTTGAGCTGGTTCCTTCCCCATGCTCCACCGCTTCTTGCCATTCGCTGTCACCTTCAGACGTGTCCAGAGTCATCCTGGTGTGCGTTTTGCCCAGTGCCTAGCACACTGATGTGGTTTGTGGAGCGGGCACTCCAGAATAGCTATGGAATAGCCAGGGTGTCCAAGGTCCGGGTTGGACCAGCGAGGTCGAATTGTGAACTTAAATTATATGGTGGAAACCCGAAGCAAAGGCGAGCTGGGAGGGCAGACACAAAGCATGAGTTTTTCAGGAATGGGGAAGCTGGAGTATATAATCCCCTCATAAGTGGCTCATGGTGGCTGCTTGCCAGATCAGAAAACAATCTTTTATGATGCCGTTTTGGAGATTCACGTGCAAATATGCGCTCTACTGTGATAACCGTAATTCTGGAGATGGTCTTTGTTGCTGGGCAATGCCAGGATTTGGACTCATGCTGTTCTCAGCAAGATTTCCACTCTTCCCCTTAAGCCTTTCCAACGGCTCACTCCACCATTCTTTGTTAAAGGCCTACTGTGTGCCTGGACCTGTGCCCAGTGGAATCAAAGCCTGAACCCTTTGCTGTCAAGAGGGTATGCTAGCCGGCTAGCACGGGAAGGCAGCTGAGGGTTGAGAAAGTTTGCAAGCTTAGCTGCCAATGCAGCTGCTGCCACCCTTTGAGCAATGCCCAGGGTTAAGAATATGGTCAGATGCTCTTCTGCCCAGTGCTGTCTGGAGATTTATCTGACATGCTCAAGGGAGTGAAATACTACAAGTTCAGAACACTGGCTTATTGAAGTTTTGAATCTCGAAGGTTTCAAACAATTTGGGGTAGGGAAGCAGGAATTGAAACACTCGGCTAGATGTGTTACTGCCGGACAGCTTTCTGCATGTGACATTATGGGAAAGCTTCATTTACAGAATTTTTTTTCGCCACTACTGAAGCATCTAATTCTACTTCATTTCTCTCAGAATGAGTGGACTTGCATCATGGTACTTTTTTTTTTTTTTTAAATTTACTCTTGCAGTTTATTAAACACGTTCCTTGATGCTCCTTTCTGTTTGACGGAAATTGGTCAGAATAAGAAACCGGTGGCCCTCTTCTTGTAGTTTGTCTGAAGGACTTCGCACCTGTAAATATTTTAATAGTGCATTATTTTAGAGCCTGCCATCGTATTTTAGCTTAAAACTTTTAAAGTATTACATTTTCTCTTCCTACCACAGAGCACAACTACTTCAGTGAGATCGTCTCTGCTCTAGTCCTTCCATGGTGCGCCCTTTTCATTTAGATATTACAGATTCCTGGAGTTTGTGAGCCAGTTTCTCTGCTTCCATTCCAGCAAAACTGAGTCTTTTATGATCACATCAAACCCTCTGGGTGACTTCCAGTGAGTGTTAGTATTAAAAAACAAAACAATGTCCTAGTGAATATATCCATGAAGATGAGAAATACGAAGTCACTGGGTTTCACTGAGTAAAGAGACGGTCCTGCTGCTAGTGACCCATGCAGGCCATATGTCGTGAGGTCTTCCCTTATAGAGGAGATGCACCCCATCTCTCTACTTCCTGGCAGGAAAATTCCACTGTGACCATGTAAACATATGGTTTCTATCAAAAGCAAATGACATTCTCAGTTTAGCAATGGATCATAAACATTCATTTCTCTTTGCACCAGAAGTTATCAGATGATCAATTATGTTGTATCAATTTGTTTTTCTCTATTTTTTTAATGTGATCTTTTATGTTGCGTTGTAGAATTTTCTTATTTCTTCCCCCCCCTCCTTCTCCTCAGTGAGTCTCTTTTCTTCATAGATACTGTTGGAAGGAATAGCTGTGATAAATGTGAAGGGCCCTGCATCAGAAGCTATAGGGGAGGAATTGAAGAGACGTTAACAGTAGCATCTTGCTAGCAGAGAAGATTGAATTAGTTGTCTGTCATTGTAATGTCTGTGTACAGCATTCTACAGTCAACAAGATTAGCTTGGATAATGGAGGGTACATTTCCACAATGCAAAATGGCAGATAATCTATTGGTACATAATGGGAACAAGGGTCTACTTCAAATAGGGCTGACTCCAAGCAAAATTGAGAAGGAGCTCCTGTTGGTTTTATTTCCCTAGGCGCTCTTCTCTGGGTCCCCTGTTGTCAGCTCCTCCCATTTCTCTAAAGGATCAATGCCCTTGTGGATCACATAATTGGTAAATGCAAGACTCTGGAGTTCGAAGAACATGGATCTTGCATGATGTGTGTACTAAGAGTAAATTACACTCTTTTCAGAGCCTGAGTCTCACATTCTCCCCACTTTATAGTGTAAGTAATACTTAGGATGCTCCATATAGGTGTGTTTTGAGAACTAAATGAGCTAATCGATGGAACATACTTAGCACAGTATATACACATAGTACAATATGATGATTATATAATACTTAATATTTGATAGCTGTGTGTATGGCAAGTAGATAGTGAGAGAGGAGAGAGGGACAGTCAGGCTAGAGACAGGAGAGAGAAAACCAACTCTGAGAGAACAGGGGGGATTGAAGGATGTTTCATATGAATTTCAGAAGCTCAGGAAGGGACACGGCCTTGGGGTATCACAAAGGTGAACTTTGACTACAGACAGTGGTTGAGATGGGATTGGAAACCAACAGGAAAATGGTTTGTCTGTATCACTTTTTAAAAAATCATTTTCCAAGGATTTCTTCTTTTGTGTGTGGTGCTTTATTCCTCTCAGTTTATCAGTAGGTTGTCCTATCTCACTGTCTTGTCTGTGTTCTGATTTAAAAAAAATCTTACATTTGTGTGCGTGTGTGTGTGTGTGTGTGTGAGGGAGGGAGGGAGGGAGGAAGAGAGAGAGAGAGAGAGAGAGAGAGAGAGAGAAGAGAGAGAGAGAGAAGAGAGAGAGAGAGAAG